GGGCCTTGTTCCAATGGGACAGCATCATGGCCTGGAACTGGCTGGCCATCTCAGCCCACTGAGCCTCCAGGTGCCAGTACCCAGTCTTGCACTCCCACAGGTCTTCCCTCTGCTTGGAAAGCCTATGCTCATAGTCCTCAATGAAGTGCTTCTGCTGAGCCTCCTTCTCGGTCAGATCCAATTTGAACTGAGCCAACTGTTTTGCCAATTATTTCTCATGGTGGCTGCTTAGCTCCAACAACTGCTTCCTGTTGGGGCCCTAAGGAGCCCGGGTGGGGAGGTGAGGAGTGGCTGTGAGGGAGGGGTGAGTAGGGGTTGATGAGACACTCCTCAAGATGAGTGACATCAAGTTGGCAACGCCCACCCAGTCACATGACTACCTAGCCACACCCACATAGCCAGTCATTAAGCAGATCATATTAGTGGTCCACTGGATTTAAAATTATGAATTTAGTGGTCCTTGAGGTCAAAAAGGTTTGTGACCCCTGGACTAGAAGACCTCTGAGGTCCCTTCCAACTGTATTATTCTATGTTCTCTATGTTCTAAATTGGATGCTTCACAGCAGAAGCAATATGGACCACACATGCATTAAATTCAGGGCCTTTATGAGCAAGCTGCATCATTGTCCCATCCTGTATCTTTTTTCCCCCAGGAAGAAAAAAGAAGTAGCCAATACTGAGTAGCTATAAAAGGTCTTCGGAAACTTCAGGGAGTATCAGCTGATCATAGAAGTGTTACTTAATACCCTTTATAATTTAAAAACAGGTAATAATCTTGGTCAACCAGTTGAATGCATTGTCACTGAAATTCATTTCATTCTATTTTGGAACGGGGCATCCTTTTTCTTAAAGAAATGGATATTTATCTGCATGATGATTATGGTATGGTGGCCTTGGTTAGAATAACTCCCTAGATGTGCATTCTGCCTTTCTTTCCTGAATAGTATTCAAGGTAGCAAGTTCTCACCAGTCCTATTATAAGCCTCCAACCAGGATCCTTGGGAACAGGACCTACCTGCTCCCACCTTCATCTTCATAAATGTTCACAAAGAGCCCAGAGTAGTCTGAGCTGAATCTTCCCCTGAAAGGTGAACCAGCTGAATCTTCCTCTGAAAGGCGAACCGCCACTCGTAGAGGCTGCCCACTCTCAGGATCTCAGGATCTCCAACAGTTCGAGCACCAGGTACTGGTTTGCAGGAGCCCCCCACACCTCCCCCAGAGGGATGCTGTGGGTGGAGTTGGCAGGCACCTCCTCCAGCGGGCCCCACACTGAAGCACCCAAGTAAATCAGCTCCATGGTACTGTGCAGGAGCACCATGGAGGTGGCTAAGGATTCTCTGTGGTGTCTAATTTCCTCTGTCCTTTTCTCACTCTTCCTTTTAGAAGCAGGCATAACATGGGCAGGCAAGCTCTGCTTGTTCCAGTGTCCTGTGGGCCATGCCATGGGCTCCACACTGGCCTTGGCCAAGGGTGTCTTAGGAAGCCCTGGGCACATCTGGGCGCAGCTGGGTGGCTGGGTGAATGGAAGTCCTGGGCGGCCGAGTTAATGGGCGGCTGGCTTTGGCCCAGGCCTTGTCAGAAGGTGTTGTGGCCCCGCCCTCTGAGCCTGTCCCATCGGAGGAAGAAAGCTCCGAGCATGAGGAAGAGGAGTCAGCCAGGCCTCCCTCTCCAGGCCCCTCCCCTCTGGCATTGTCTCAGGTGCCGGCCGAGGGAGGGGAGATTAGCAGGGAGACAGGTGGCTCGGATCAGAGTGACGGAGAAACATCATTCCTGGACGCACGCCTCCGAAGGCGTGATAAACGATTGCAGCAGCTCAGGAGGCGTGCTAGGGATTAGAACTGAGTCACTGGACCACACCCCAGAGACTATATAATAGAGGGTGGTGGTCAGTGATCCTTGTGACGAACAAAACTAACCTTGGATAGTCACTAAAGCCTCGTTCGGAACTGCTGAGAGAAATATTTGTTGTTGTTGGACATTTGGAAGCTGAATATTTATCTTTCTGTTTTTCTGTGAAAATAAAGGCACTTGGCAGACGGTGTGTCTATCGCTGCCAAGTTGGAGATAAAGAAACTGGGTGTGTTCCAAAGTGTTTCCTTAACCCTCGGCTGGCTGTGTTTGTGTGTGTGTGTGGACGGGGACAGATCAGAAGGCCTGAGCACAGCGAGGAGAGGAGTGGCTGGGAGGGGAGGAGCAAAGCATGGCTGGGCATGGTGAGGAGAGGCCAGCTGTGTCCAGGCCTTCTGATGACACCCTGGACCAAGGCGAGAGCAGGTAGGTCCTGTTCCCAAGGATTTTTAATAGGATTTATAATAGGTGTGAGGCACACTATTCAGCCAGTTCACTGAACTGCACAGTTAGCTATCAGTTCTATTGAACTGGTGTGAAATGGCTGAATCCCACCACTGGGTTTATGAAACTATAAATGATACATACCTTATATCTGTATCAGATATTCCATAACAGCTAAAGAGATTGAATTTCTCTTAGTTGGTTTTTTTTTTTTTTTACAGAAAGTTTTCTCATAGTTTTATTCTCCCCTCTCCTTCAATTGCCTCAGAAACAATTTTGTAACATTCAAAAAGGTCATTTTTCTCTGTCCTTCATATTTATATAGGGTATATAGAGTAATTACACTGGGTTTTTTGTACAATAATAACTATATGTGTGTAACCATATATAGTAAGACTAAAATGTTCTTTTAAAAAAAATACTGCAAAATTATGCTACTTCTTCTTAGAATACCATTAGATGTAATTATATTATGTTAAAAATGGCTCCTTTGATATGATATAATTTTGGTAACTGGATATATATTTTAGCATAATGTTCACTATTTCCTTTAGAGTGAAAGGAATAGTTCTTTATCCAGAGAAGATTACCATAAAACAGTAGTTCAATGGCAGGAGGTAAACGTTTTCCAATAAATCCAGACAAATATTAACATAAGGTGTTGGGCATATCTTCCATCTACTGCCCCTCAGATGCTTTGGGTAGAAACAGACAATTGAATGGCAATTCTGGGAGCTGTGACATTAACTAACCTGAAAGACATAGAATTCTTTATTGGCCAAGTGTGATTGGACATCCAAGGAACTTATCTTTGGTGCATATGCTTTCAGTGTACATAAAAAGACAAGATACATTAGTCAAGAATCATAAGGTACAGCACTTAATGATAGTCATAGGATACAAATAAGCAATCAAATCATACTAGGAAACAATATCAATATAAATTGTAAGGATACAAGCAACAAAGTTACAGTCATGCAGTCATAAGTGGGAGGAGATGGGTGATAAGAACAATGAGAAGATTAATAGTAATAGTAATGCAGCTTTAGTGAATAGTTTGACAGTGTTGAGGGAATTATTTGTGCAGAGTGATGGCGTTCAGGAAAAAACTGTTCTTGTGTCTAGTTGTTCTGATGTGCAGTGCTCTATAGTATTGTTTTGAGGGTAGGAGTTGAAACAATTTATGTCTAGGATGCGAGGGATCTGTAAATACTTTCACAGCCCTCTTTTTGACTCGTGCAGTATACAGGTCCTCAATAGAAGGCAGGTTGGTAGTAATTGTTTTTTCTGCAGTTCTAATTATCCTTTGAAGTCCGTGTCTGTCTTGTTGGGTTGCAGAACTAAACCAGACAGTTATAGAAGTGCAGATGACAGGCTCAATAATTCTTCTGTAGAACATAATCCTGGATATTACAAATTCCATCTGTCAATTCAAATAATCTAATTTGATAAAGAATTTCACAAAGCTTAGCTGCTTTTTAGGTACCAGAAATGTTTCTGTAAAAACCTTGGAAATTATAACATTAGAATTCAATTGTATACATATCTCTTATTGGAATGGTTTTGTTACAAGAGGAGCCAGAATGTCTCCACTGTCACTTAAAAGCTGACTGACATGAAAGTTCTTCCATTTCAACTAAAGCAATACTCTGAGGGAGCATGGCAGGTTGGATGCTGCTCTGTCTTCCATCAGAATAACAGAGTTGGAAGGGACCTTTGAGGTCTTCTAGTCCAACCCCCTGTTCAAGCAGGAGATCTATTCCATTCCAGACAAATCACTGTTCAGTTTCAGTCTCTTCTTAAAAACCTCCAGTGCTGGAGCACCCCCAATTTCTGGAGGCAAGCAGTTCCAATGGTTAATTGCTCTCACTGTCAGGAAATTTCTCCTTAGTTCTAGGTTGCTTCTCTCCTTAATTAGTTTCCATCCATTGTTTCTTGTCTTGCCTTCTAGTTCTTTGGAAAATATGTTGATTCCTCTTCAACTATTGGAACACTATTGTCATGTTACCCTAGTCTTTTTACTAGACTAGACATATCCAATTCCTATAACTGTTCTTCATATGTTATAGCCTCCAGCCCCTTAATAATTTTTGTTGCTCTTTTCTGACTCTAATTTTTTTTTTAATATGGTGATCAAAACTGGCCGCAGTATTCTAAGTGTGATCTAACTAAGGCTTTACAAAAAAAGTACTAATACTTCACACGATCTTGATTCTATTCCTCTGTTAATGTAGTTTAGGATTGCATTGTCTTTTTTGACAGCTGCAGCACAATATTGGCTCATATTTAAGTGACTGTCCACTAGGACTCTAAGATCCCTCCTGCAGTTACTGCTATTGAGCCATGTTTACCTACAATACATTTCTGCCTTCCCCCAATAGTCTTTCTATTGTCTTCTGAGGCTTCGAAGAGAGTCTTTATGTTATGTCCTTATAATCCGCCCGGATTGGCTGCGAGCCAATGAATCCCTGTCAAGGGGCGGTGCGTCTGCCGGGAGCGAATATAAGGAGAGCCCCGGCAGCGCGCCTGCAGTCTTGTCTTGTTACTTTTGTAGCTAATAAAGTTACTTAATGTATCGAGCTGGTCACGTCTTCATTTCCTGCACCTGATCTAACACTGGCGACGAAGGACTAGAGAGGAGAACCTGAACAAGACTGGTGGCACGATCGCCACCCAGCTGAAGACTCGAAACCACAGTGACCCTCAGAATGGCAACTCCGCAAGCCCCGATTGCCGCACTGAACCCATTCGACCCATCCCGAGAGAAGTGGAGGTCGTACATGGTCCGATTTCGGCAGTTCCTGCGAGGCAAGGGCTACCAGAACCTTGATGATGAGCGGAAAAGAGCCCTCTTCCTGGCTCACTGCGGATCGGACGTTTTGGAGATGGCGATTGACCTCGTGGCACCCAGGGACATTGAGGAGATGTCCTGGAACGACCTGCAAGAAGCCCTGCAGGAGCATTACGCACCTACAGGCACCCCAATCGCAAACAGGTTCACCTTCCAGCAGAGAAACCAGCGGGAAGGTGAATCCATCAAAGAATTCGTGGCAGCGCTTCGCCAGATCGCTGCCAACTGCGAGTTCGATAATGTGGACAACGCCATCTGAGACCGCGTTGTTTTTGGAATGAGAGATGTGGGTCTGCAAAAGAAGTTCCTCAGCCAGAAGAGGATACCACTCAAAGACGTCCTCGACGAAGCAACAGCGGCTGAAACATCCGAGAAGGCAGCCGCCGTGATGGTAAAAGCTAGAGGGATCCATAAGATCCACAAGTCGGCTCTGACCTCATCAGACGACTCAACAACGCAATCCAAGTCTGATGAGGAAAGGGCCATCCACAAGGTTTCCCGTCCCCCCAGGCGGGAAAACCCACAGCAGGGCGACTGGGGAGAATGATGCGGCAGCTGCAAAGGCGACCACCCCAGGGCAACCTGCAGATGGAGGGACGCGACCTGCCGCCAATGCCTGAAGAGGGGGCACATCGCCGAGGCCTGCAGAGCAGCAGATCCAGCCCCAGAACCGCCCAGACCACGATTCCGTGAGAATCGCAAAGATAACCAGAGGACATCCAAACGGTCCTCGAACCAGTCCCGGCGCGGGGAGAACGACTATCCCCGCAGCAGAACGGTGCACCAGACAACCATCGCTCACACAAGTGATGAGGGGACCACCAAGTTCCACGTGACGCTGATGGCGGAAGGGTCACCGTGCAAGATGGAGGTAGACTCCGGGTCCGCCTACTCCATCATGGACTGGCAGCACCTACAGCAGCTGAAACCATCCTGCAAGAAGACCCAGCTGAAAACCCCTAAGTTGAGGCTTGTGGACTTCAACGGAAATCCCATCGGAATCCTGGGCAGAACCACCATCCACATCAGATACAAGGACTTTAACGGAGAGCTGCCCATCACCATCGTGGAGAACAGCCGACCGAACCTGTTGGGAGTGGAGTGGTTTAAGCCGCTGGGGCTTTCCATTGAGGGCATCCACGAAATCCATAGGGACGAACTCGACACCATCCTCGAAGAGTTCAAAGAAGTCTTCGATGGTAAGCTGGGGAAATTTGTGGGGAGGCCAATTTCCTTCAATCTGGACAAGGGAATCACCCCAATCAGGCTCAAGCCCCGCCGAGTTCCGTTTGCCCTGCGGCCTAAAGTAGACGAGCAGCTGGATAAGCTGATCGCCCAGGGCGTCCTGGAACCGATCGATCATGCCTCATGGGAGACCCCCATTGTGACCCCACTGAAGCATGATGGGTCTGTGCGCATCTGCGCCGACTACCGTTGTACCATCAACAAGGCGTTGGCACAGAGCGCATACCCAGTCCCAGTGGTGCAACACCTGCTGCATTCCCTGGGATCTGGCTCAATTTTCGCGAAACTGGACCTGGCCCAGGCTTACCAGCAACTGCCAGTGGATGAAAAAACGGCGGAGGCACAAACAATTGTCACGCACAGGGGGGCATTCAAATGTAACCGCCTCCAATTTGGAGTCAGCGCTGCCCCAGGCATTTTCCAATCTATGATGGAACGCCTTCTCCAAGGCGTTCCAGGGGTGGTACCTTACTTCGACGATGTGCTCGTCTCAGGTGACTCACGAGCTCAACTCCTTGAACGGCTCAGGCTTGTCCTGCAGCGGTTCAAGGCCAAGGGCTTGAGAGTCAGGCGGGACAAGTGCACCATAGGAGTACAGGAAGTCGAGTTCCTGGGCTATCTCATTGATAGCACTGGCATCCACCCCACCAAATCAAAAGTGGAAGCAATCCATGAAGCTCCAAGCCCAAAAAACAAAACGGAGCTTCAGGCTTTCCTTGGGTTGCTCAACTTCTACGCCATTTTCTTAAAACAGAAAGCCACAGTTGCTGAGCCACTCCACCGCCTGCTGGGGAAAGCGGCTTCCTGGAAGTGGGGCCAGGAAGAGGAAGCAGCATTCCGGGCCATCAAAGGACTATTGACGTCCAAGAGCGTTCTCATCCAATACAGCGAGACGCTCCCCATCAAGCTGACCTGTGATGCGTCACCTTACGGGGTGGGGGCAGTCCTCAGCCATGAACTGCCCAACGGCTCGGAAGCCCCGATTGCTTACTTCTCGAAGACCATGTCCGGCGCAGAACGGAACTACAGTCAGCTGGACAAAGAAGCCCTGGCCATCGTGGCAGGAGTGAAGCGCTTCCACGAATACCTCTACGGAAGACGCTTCACCATAGTCACCAACCACAAGCCACTCCTGGGACTCCTTGCAGGCGACCAACCCACCCCGACCTTCATGTCCCCATGGATGACGAGATGGGCCATCTTCCTAGCCGGCTACTCCTATAGGCTCGTGCACCAGCCAGGCACAGCCATAGGAAATGCCGACGCACTCAGCAGATGCCCATCGAAGAATCCAGTCGAAGACCCAGCCCCCACGCTCCACCTATTCCACATAGACGACGACGCCAGCTGTCCAGTCTCATCCGCAGATGTGGCCGTTCATACCCAAAAGGACCCCACACTCCGCCAAGTGAAGTCCTGGATCCTCAGAGGGTGGCCATCGGAAAAGACGGAGGAGAGGTTCAGCCCGTTCGCCAGGAAACAGAAGGAGCTGTCCACCATCAAGGGCTGTCTGCTATGGGGAGACAGGGTGCTGATTCCAAGCACTCTGCAACGGCGTACGTTAGAGACTCTGCACAAAGGGCATCCGGGCATCGTCCGCATGAAGGCCCTGGCACGGAGTTACGTCTGGTGGCCCTCCATGGACAGAGACATTGAGCAATGGGTCTCCAGATGTGACCCGTGCCAAGAAGTTCACCCAGCGCCGCCACAATCCGAAGTCGCGAAGTGGGAGACCCCCAGCAACCCCTGGTCGAGGATCCACATCGACTTCGCGGGTCCGATGCAGGGGCGACACCTCCTCATCGTGGTAGATGCCTTCTCCAAAAGGCTCGAGGTGGTGCCCATGGCATCTACCACAACAGAAGCGACGATCCGAGCCCTGCGCCGTCTGTTTGCCACACATGGACTACCGGACGTGCTGGTCTCGGACAACGGCCCCCAGCTCACATCCCTGGCCATGGAGTCCTTCCTGGCAGGACTGGGCATCCGCCACGCCCTGTCCGCCCCGTACAGGCCGGCCGGAAACGGACAAACTGAACGCATGGTCAGACTCACCAAAGAAGCCCTCACCAAGATGGGCCCGGGAGACTGGCAAGAATGCATAGACAACTTCCTCCTCACCCAGCACATCACGCCACATGCCACCACCCACAAGAGCCCGGCCGAACTACTAATGGGCAGAAGGTTGAGGTCACCCCTGGACCGGCTGCACCCCCAATACAGCTCGGAAGTGACCGCAACCGCCAGCCGCCCGCTTCGCGCCTTCAGCAAGGGAGATTCAGTTTTCGCGCTGAATTTCAACGGCTCTCCTAAGTGGCTGAAGGGGAAGATTGCCAGCACAACCGGCCCCAAATCCTACACCGTCGAGTTGGAAGATGGACAGGTCTGTAGACGCCACATCGACCAACTCCGGAAAAGGTGGGGGGAGCACACGAAAACCAGCCTGACGAGGGGGGCCTACAACACCCAGACGAGGTAGGCCTACAACACCCCGGCGAGGTAGACCTACCACACCCAGACGAGGTAGGCCTACGACACCCCGGCGAGGTAGGCCTACCACACCCCTGCGAGGCAGAGCAACCCCATCCCGACGAGGTCGGCCCGGCTCACTACCAGGTACTGTCACGTCGGCAGTCCAGCGAGGTAGACCGGGACCAACCGCTCGGGAGATGGCAACACCAACCCAGCCAGGTGGGCACCCGGCACAGCAGGGCCAGGGACCACCAACCCAGCCCGCAAGTAGACCGGGACCTGCCCAGAGAAGGAGCAGCGCACCCCACCAGTGATGGCAGCCTACACCAGCCCAGCCAGGGAGACCGCAGTTCCAGGCGAGTAGACCGGGACCCAGCCAAGACGGGCACCCCACTACCCATGGGCGAGGGTGGCACACGACTCCCCGGCGAGAGGGACCCCCGCCCATCTCAGAGAACAGCCAGCGGACAACAACCCGACCCGGATGACCCCAGGCACCACCCGACGGTAGACCAGGGACTAGGGGGAAGGGAAAGCCAACAACAACCCGGCCAGGGAGACCTACACCACCACGGCAGGGGAGAACTCCGCCGCCCAGCAGAGGTAGTCCCGCAACAACATCCCGACCGGGTCGACCACCACCAACCAGACGGGGTAGACCAACACCAGCCCAACCGAGGGGACCAACGCCACCCCTGCGAGGTTGGACAGCACGATGCAAGCCAGCACCACCCGCGACCAGCGGACTGGACCGGGGGCACCGAGCAGAACCACCACCCAACCGGCAGCAGGCCGAACCGCGACCGAACCGCAGCGGCCGGGAGACCAGGGAAGAGCAAGCGACAGACTTACCGAGACTCAGACGCTCTTCCCGGGTCGGAACCGAGCAATCGAGACGAGGCGATAGATCCACAGGCCAGGAGGAAGACTAACAGAACCAGCCACCCAAGGTCTGCGGTCTGGCCGGAGGCGCTGGGGGTGACCCCGCTCACTCGACAGCCGAACCGAGCCCGGTTCCGGAGAGGGAACCAGGAGACGAAGGAGCCCCGTCCATCCAGGCTGGAGACGGAGAAGAAGTGAGACTGCGCAGGTCAGCTAGGGTGCCGAGGCGTCCTATGTACCTGCACGATTACGTGACTTTTGTGAACGAGATTGACAGTTCGGACTAAGGGGGGAGGAGTGTTATGTCCTTATAAGGACATCCGCCCGGATTGGCTGCGAGCCATCGGGCGGGAGATTTGAATCCCTGTCAAGGGGCGGTGCGTCTGTCGGGAGCGAATATAAGGAGAGCCCCGGCAGCGCGCCTGCAGTCTTGTCTTGTTACTTTTGTAGCTAATAAAGTTACTTAATGTATCGAGCTGGTCACGTCTTCATTTCCTGCGCCTGATCTAACACTTTAGTCTCCATTTGTCCTTCTCAGGGTTCTCTCTTTTAAGTCTGATGGATGCAGACTTTGGTGTTGGGCTTGGCTCAGTGCTATGGTCAGTTATGGCTGACTTTACATGGGACCAATGAATACAGAAGTCCCTTTCAGCTACTTTCACTGTTGTCTGAGTCATCAGGGGTACTTGGAAGGGCTATTTCCACTTGGGCTGCTATAGTGATTTCCAAGTGGACGATTTGATCCAAATCCAGACCCCTGATCGCCTCTGGAGGCAGCATCTGGGTCAGTGCACTCTGCTTCCACAGGTTGTGGAGTTGTCTGTGCATGGCTGAAAGATATGAGGCCAAGACCACCTTCCCACTTACAACATATACAGTAAACACAAGAATAAACCTTTTCTTTTTCCTCTAAGTGAACTTAAAACATTCCCTCCTGATAACCTATAGCCTATGGGGCTATTATTAAAGGTTCAGAGAGAGCGGGGAGGGAACACATTTCTCTTCACCCTGTTTTGCTGGCCAGGCAAACTAGGGTGAAAGCATTTTTCTTTTATGGTTTATTTTAACATTTTTCTAACAGAATTTCTTCTGTCTCTAGGGATTAGAGACATTTAACAGTTATATTTAAAGGGTACACAAAGACTTTGACACACATACCACACAAAGACAAGGGAAAGAAAAAAGAAAGGGAAAATAGAACTCTCAGGTTTATATACCTTGATCATTCTCATCATAAATCTCAGTTAATCTAAATTAAGAAAGGCAAAAAAAACTAGAAGGGGACAAAGATCAATTACTATATTTTTTTTTTCTTCTAAGTACCTAAGTATGCACAAAATCCACCTGTGCCTTCTATAATTTTGTAAAGAACAAACTTAAAGATTCAAGATCTATCCCACCCCTAAAAGGACCAAACAATGAAGATTGACGAAACCATTAAAGCCAATCTCTTTAACACGTTCTTCGGCTCAGTCTTTGTAAACAGCAACAACACATACCCAATATTTCCCAGTCGTACTACAGACAATTACAACGATTATGGTGATCTTATACATATTGATTTTACAGAAGATAATGTTGAAAAGGCACTACGCAATCTAAAACCATCTCTATCTATTGGACCTCATGGACTATGTGCATACTTCTTAAAAAAGCTTTCCACTGCAATTGCAGAACATCTAAGCATATTTTTTAAAAAATCTTTCAGTACCAGCACCTTGCCCTACCAATGGTCACAAGCCAGGGTCATCCCTATCTTCAAAAAGGGAGACCCTAGTGGTTGGGTGGCATGCTTTTTTATGGTACAAGGGAACAAAAGTACAGGGGTATTTTAGAAGACATCATGAGGCTTTGTTATTAAATTGGGAGAAGATTAAAAAACAACACTATTTGAAAATTCCAGTCTGGGTATCAACGATTGAAGCATTTTCATATCCAATAATATTTAGAAGGGAACAAATTGTTAGATACAGTGAATTAATGGATGAAAAGAGTGAACAATCAAAGCAAGAATTGGAAGAACAAGGTGTTAAGATAGATTGGTTTTCTTATTTGCAAATATATTCTAGATATGAAGAAGACTCTAAACAAGAAGGTTTCTATAATGTCTTGACTAATTTAGATAAAATCTTAATGGGTTCTGATGACTATGTAATTAAAAAATTGTATGGTTATTTATTAGAGGTAAAACTGGAAGAAGAACAAGTTAAAGAAACGATAGCATGGGGGAAAAAATTTAGACATGGGATTGATTTAGAGAAATGGCAAAAATTGTGGTTGCAAAATTATAAGATGACAATGTCTACAGCATATAAGGAAAATTTGTATAAGATGTTTTACAGGTGGCATCTACCCCAGACGAGAATAGCCAGAATGTTCAAGAACAAATCGGAGAAATGTTGGAAATGTCATCAGACCCCAGGATCATATTACCATATGTGGTGGACATGTGTAGAAGCTAAAAGATATTGGACTAAAATCCACACGTGGTTGGAAAAAATGACAAAGAAACACATTGACTTTAAACCTGAGATATTTTTATTAGGGATTTTACCAGAAATGAATAATTGAGAACTGAGATATTTAATTGTGAATGTTTTAACAGCGGCTAGAATTGTATTTGCTAAAAATTGGAAAAAAGAGAAAATACCTACTGAAGATGAAGTTATTAAGAAAATTATGGAATGGAATTATGGAAAATTATGAAATGAGTAAATTGACATTTGAAATTAGGAAGACAAACAATATTATTTGATATGGGATTTATTTTATCAATGGCTAGATAATAAGGCATGGAAATGAAGTATGAAATATGAAATTAATGTAACGATAAAACATATGAAGTGATTTTTTATGGGAGTTAAGCCTTTGTTAAATAATTGTTAAATGAGAATAATAACATAAAGGGATACATAAAATTTTTAAATAAGAGAAATTAAATAACTTGTAAATTTTGGATATGGGATTAAGCACAAAAGAATTTTAACCAATCGACACACTTTCTGTGATGGTAATGGATGATGGTTGTTTTATGTTTTGTTATGTTTAAAAATAATATATATATATATATATATCTCTATTTTTATTTATATATATATATATATATATATAAAGAGAGAGACCCTAGCCTAGTTGAAAATTACAGACCAATCTCTTTATGTTGCGTCACCTGCAAAGTCATGGAATCAATCATTAACCAATCTATTACCCTACATCTAGACACAAACAACCTACTTTCTAACAAACAATTCGGTTTCAGAAAAAAATTATTCTGTAATCTACAACTACTACATTGCAAAAACATATGGACTACACATCTCGATCAGGGCAAAGCAATAGACGCAGTTTACATAGACTTTTGAAAAGCTTTTGACTCAGTGGTACATGACAAATTACTTCTAAAACTAAAATACTATGGCATTTCTGGACTCCTACATAAATGGATAATTGCCTTCCTATCAAACAGACAACAAGTGGTCAAAATAGGAAGTGCTCTATCAAATCCTGTACATGTTAATAACAGTGCTCCCCAAGGCAGTGTCTTAGGTCCAACACTCTTCATACTTTACATAAATGACCTTTGTGATCATATTAACTGTGTTCTCTTCGCTGATGATGTTAAATTATTCAACACCACTGACAATGCAACTACCCTTCAAAAAGACC